TACAACACACCAAAAGTGCCACAAGTTGGACAAAAGCATAGATGAGTGAAGAGCCGTCTCAGTCTGGTAACTCATCCAGGATGTCCCGAAGGAACCCAGAACAATGTCTCTGTTCAGATCAGAGTTCATGCTTTGACATTAGGAAAAAGAAATGAACAAACTGGCCATATGTGGGATGGAATCAGAGACAATTTAAAGAGCTGACTAGAAATCCTTCACAACGATGTGAAAGACTCTTTTCTAAGGTGTCGCAAATCCTTCATGTCAGTTGTTACCGCCGAGTGTGGCACGACCGGGGATGGGGGTTTTTGAGGTAATTTCTTTTTCGCTCGTTTCTAATAAGTATAGAGATTGTTTTTTTTTTGATTTTGCAGTTTTCTGTCTGATATTAACATATTTGATAAACTTATCTAAAAAAAATGTTGGTGTGACAGTAAGGCAAAAAACAAAAAAGAAATGTAATACTTCTGTTAATTCTGATTTCCTAAAGGTTTCGTGAATTTATTTTCTCTCTCCTGCCATTTCAAGGCATCCTGGAGTTCTTCCACCACCAGCTCAAGGACATCATTGAATACGCCGAGCTGAAGACGGACGTCTTCCAGAGCTTGAGGGAGGTCGGGAACGCCATCCTCTTCTGCCTGCTCATCGAGCAAGCTCTGGTGAGGCCTTTCCGCCGCCGTCTCCCTCTAGCTAATCTGCTGTAAAGTCTTCCTCGCCTTCTCTCCCCGACCCTTCTTGTGATTACCTGCGCCGGGCGCCTGGAGGTTTCTGCTCGTGTTTATAGCCTCGACTGTCTCCGTGTAAATCAAACGATGCGATCGAAAACTGTCAGGCTTGTGGGTGTGTTTAGTGTTTGATCTTTGATGATGTTTTTTTTTTTTTTGTCTTAAACACAACTCTATTTTTCATTACACGCTGGCAACTACTGCAGGTGGTAAGGATTTAGATTTTGTTGATATTAAAATAACATAGAGACCATTTTTGTTTATTTATTTTTTTTAATCACTTATTATTTTTTAACATATTAATGAATTAATTTGATTCATTTTATTGCACATATACAACTTCCATCTCCAATCAGCCATGGAAAAAAAAAAGGACTGAGATTTTCATAATCTACGACAAAGTGAAAATGTTTAGGGCATGCATCACGACCTTGTTTGTCCTTGCAAACGGGCTTATAATCACAAAACTTAAAATCTCAATGTCTTTGTCTTCCATGGAGGAGGTGACTCCATTCTTCTGGCTGGTTGTTGACTCAGACTTGTGTTTTAATTCTTTGGTTTTATTTCCGAATTACCTTAAGTTTGACTCCTTTCATGCCTTGTTACTCATGTTTTTCTCAGTATGATTTCACCATTTCTGTGTGACTGCACTGACTCAGTTTGTGTGTGTGTGTGTGTGTGTTGCTTTGGATCACATCCGAGCGAGTCGGTTTGTTTGTGTGGGTGTCTGATTCTCATCGTTGCATGACTCTCGTCTCATCCACTACAAGATGTCACTTTGTCGCATTTAGTCTAATTGCCGTCACTAACAATCACCTTCACTTTAGTGTTGTCGCATAACCTCACATCGAGTATCACAATAAATCATTCTATATTCATTTAGTGGTTAAAAATTGCAGCTTTTTAGGGTGTTTTCAGTATAGACTCGGTTTGACCGAGGAACAAAATTGCAACGGGTGTTAAATTTTCAGCTGGTGCGGTTCGGTTTCGCACCGCACTGTGTCAAATGAGCTGAACCAATTGAAAAACCTGTTCACCCTCTCGCCTGTGGTGGCGCTGTCCCAAGAACCACTACAAAAAAAAAAACAACAACAAAAAAACAACAACATAAAAACCTCTGAGCAAGACACTGAGCACAACACCAAAAAGTATTTATTTATTTATTTTTTACAAAATGACCTGTGCCACAAATATTGGCACCCCTGCTATCGAATGTGTACGAGCCTACTTTTGCCAAAACCGGAAACGAACAATAAGCAGAAAGTGGACAATAGCACAGGGCATTTACGGGTAAATACAACCAAAATAAACGCGAGAGCCTGGCGCTAGCTGGAATCATAGGTTGTGGTCTTTTGCTAAAGACTGCAAAGAAATCCCAATACCTCTAAAATATGACGCCGCTACATTTTTGTTTCCATCTTGTGAAGAGGGAAGTTGCGCTCATGTCGTCTTTAGAGGTTTTCATGTCGTTTTTGTCAGCAGTTCCTCTTGTAGCGCCACCGCAGGCGAGATGGAGGCCGAAAGCAAATTGCACCAGTTTGAACGTATAGTAAATGTTTCAATGTTGGTCCCCAATCAAAACGAGTCTGCCGTTCTGAAAACGCCCTTAGTCTCTTATGGCCTTTCACAAGGATAAAACTAGAGAAGAGCAGTTTGGACTTGCAATTCTGTCTGCATGTTTTCAATAAAAAGTATTTCAAGAAAATAATCAGTCATTTTGGCATTACATCGGTCACTGCACAGAGATACAAACTCGTAATTCTCTAAAAATAAAGCATACACATTATCAAATAGCCTGACTGCAGAGACATGAGTTATTGAAAAAAAAATGTCCACATGTAGTATATATTAATAACTTAGTTAAACTAAAATACATTAAAAAAAAAGTTGGCTGTCTGGATGCAGGGTAAGGCTGTCAGTAAAGCAAAGTGAGTTTAATTTGTGGCTTAAAAGTTTCCCTTGACATTTTGCTTGACCCTTAGTCCCAGGAGGAAGTGTGTGACCTGCTTCATGCCGCCCCCTTCCAGAACATTCTTCCCAGAGTCTACATCAAAGGTAGACTGAACTTCGGATGGCTCACGGTTTCCAAATTTTGGGAGATTACTCCTGCAGTGTGTGGCTGCCCACTCGGAGCTCTGCTGGTTCTGTAACTGTCCGGTTCTCTGTGACACGCAGAGGGAGAGCGACTGGAGGTGAGGATGAAGAGGCTGGAAGCGAAGTACGCCCCTCTCCACCTGGTGCCTCTCATCGAGAGGCTGGGAACTCCTCAGGTCAGTGTAATCCCTTCATGGCTGGGCTGAAACTAAATAAGTTTTATCTATCTATTTTTTTTTTCTACAAAACCCAAAACAAAAACGAGTTCTTCTCTTTTTAAACTCCAGCAAATAGCCATCGCGAGGGAGGGGGACCTGCTGACCAAAGAGCGCCTCTGCTGCGGCCTCTCCATGTTCGAGGTCATCCTGACGCGCATTCGCAGCTTCCTGCAGGACGCCGTGTGGCGCGGGCCCCCGCCCACTAACGGCGTGATGCACGTGGACGAGTGCATGGAGTTCCATCGCCTGTGGAGCGCCATGCAGTTCGTCTACTGCATCCCCGTCGGCACGCACGAGTTCACAGCGGAGTGAGTAGCATCTGGCCGACAGCTGCGCGGCACTTTGAAGAGTTTTGCTTCCAGGTGGGAGCTGTCAGGAGCGAAAGCTGCTAATTGTGATAATGTGAAGGAACTTTTAACGGTAGAAGTTGTTGCAATAAAGAATAAGGGCATGGTTTTTCACGCTGACATGGCAGTCGGCCTGCTGTTTGTACACAAAGTAGGAGCAGAGGTCCAGACAACACCTTCTGTTTGGAAGAAAATGCTCTGATAATAGTGTCTACATAAATTGTTTAAAATCTATATTACTTTTTTTTTTATTACAACATCCATGTAAACATTTGTTTTTCTTTTTTCATGATATGTCTTGATAGAATTCTTCAGAGTTAGATTCTAGCTGGATATCTTCATTGCTCCAGAAGTGGGATTTCTTTTTAACAAGCTGTCTTCTTGCTCCGCCAAATCCTGTGACGGTTACAACAACATCTTGTCTCTAAAAAAAAGAAAGCACACTTGTATTTTTTTAAAGATGTAAAAAAAAAAAACTTAAATTTATAATAAGTTAACCTGGAACTTTTAAGCCCAACTATGTTAGCTGTGAAGCAGTGTGCTGCTGTATGTTGAGAGAACATGCTTCTGCTATACGATTAAGAATGTAACACTTTTTGCTTAGCTTTATAAAACCGAGGTGGTCCGAAGAAGCTTTTTGCATGGCACTCATTAACTCGGACTAATAGTCTAAGCACTGGTATGTTGCTCTGTAATCTAAATGATGCCAGACATCCTTAACTACTGCGATTAAAATGTCTGTCCTTGTACAAAGAGCTCCAACTCCCCAGATGGTGAGCTACTATAACAAACCATCTGGCGTGCCAGGTTAGGAAGACGGGTCTCAGGCTGTGCTGAGAATGAGTGTTTTTAGAGCCGCTTTTGTTTTTGATGCATTTTTCCTCCTTCCTTCCTTCAGTTATGTGCTTTCTTTGGTCGGTTTTGTCAGATAGAGAAAGTAAAGTACTGACTGATGCGCATCAGAGAGCGGATCAGCCCGAGGCGAGCGGATGTGTTCAAACAGGCCTTCGAAAATCCGTTCAGACCGGTCAATGCAGAAATGCCGGCGAAATATTTTTATTCATAGGCCACTGTCAGGCTCAGAGGCGAGATATTGTTAACACGGTTTGCACCCGCTCGGGGTCGCACTAGTTTGCGGAAACTCATCTTGTGTTTTGCGTGCGCCTTTCCCTTCCAGGCAGTGCTTCGGGGACGGGCTGAACTGGGCGGGCTGCGCCATCATTGTGCTGCTCGGACAGCAGCGCCGCTTTGACCTCTTCGACTTCTGCTACCACCTGCTCAAAGTCCAGAGGCAGGACGGCAAAGACGAGATCATCAAGAATGTGGTGAGTGCGCGCCGTCCACGGCGTTGGAGGGGGGCATGGAAATGCACACTGTACTTTTCAGATTTTTATTAGTTGGAATTTTTTTTATATCATGTGTCCTGTACCATTCTCTTCACTATTATTCTCCTCATAGTTGTGATGTATCACGTAAAATTGCAAACAGAAAATAAAATTCCCCGCCTTGTAACTATCTCTGGGGTTTGCAAATCATTAAACCACCAAAGAGTGATTTTAGCTGCCTGGGATTCCTACTTAATAGCTGTGTTATAAATTATGCTGTATTATAAAAGAAAAACGGTGAGAATGTTTTTTTTTTTCTTGTCTTAATGTTGGTAACCTTCAGCTTTTTTATAATAACAACAGAGATGACGTGCAACAGATCAGCATCTTAGTAACACTTAGGCAAATGTTCTTAACTTCTTCCTTCACATTAGCTTTAGCATCTTACATTAGCGATTAGCGCTGCTGGCATTACATCGCCGTCAGTCTCCACGTGTCTACAGATACTTACCTTAATTTTGTTTCCAAGGCTGCCAGAATTTCCAAATCTAGCCTGAACCGCTCGGAACATAAAAAGAGCAACTTTTACAGCCTTCCTGTTACTTGATCAAAGTATTGCTCTCTCTCTCACCCTCTTGAAGCCTGACTTATAGCTTGACATGTCTGAGGAAATGCAGTTTTACTTTTAAAAAACTTATTTCATCTCTGCATTTCCTCTGACTTCATATTTAAACACCTAGCGAATTCTCAAAAACATTGAACTTGGATTGTAAAAAAAAAAAAGAAATGTAGTTTTTGAAAATCCTCCAATTTTCCCCCATTATTAGTGACAAAAAGCAAAAAAAAAAAAAAAAAAAAATTCCAAGGGATATAAAAATGCTTTATTAATCAAGACCACCACTTGTGCTTCATTGTTTTCCTCTGCAGCCACTGAAGAAGATGGCAGACCGCATCAGAAAGTACCAGATCCTCAACAATGAGATATTCGCCATCCTCAACAAGTACATGAAGGCGGTGGAGACGGACAGCTCCACTGTGGAACACGTTCGCTGTTTCCAGCCCCCTATACACCAGTCCCTAGCTACCACCTGTTGAAAAGGAAGAGCCTTGAAAAGATAGTGCACACACAGACATACTCTAAAAACATACTCTCTCGCATACGCACCTACACACACGCATACATTCCCTCCTTTAGCTGTGATGCTAATCTCTGCCTCGCCGCAGCAGCTTTAAGAATCCACTGGCAAATCCATCTCAGTTTAAGTTACAATGCGACTGTCTTTACGTGCTGAGGTGAAGTGGACCAGAGCAGAGGTTGAACTGTACATTCGCATCTTTTTTATTTTTTTTAATTTAATTTTAGATTTTTTTTTTTTTTTTTTTTTTTTTTTTTTGGCTTTCCCCCTTGGGTTTATGCTTTCCTTCTTTTTTTTTT